GCTGTTTCCCTTTAATGAGTACCACATCTTATGTACTGAAGAAAAAACCGAGATAAGCATAAAGAAGAAAATTCACGTTGGTCATAAGCTCACTAGTTAAACGTAACTGCTGTTATAACGTTTGGTGACTGTTGAGACCAGCCTAGGCTGCAAAGTGAGCTCAAGGCCAGCATAGCAAGAACCTGTCTCAAAAAGACCAAAAAAAAAACCAAAAAACCCAAAACCCCATTTGGTGTCTCTTCTTCAAGACTGCATGCTATATAGATAAATTACAGGCAAGAAATGGAGTCAGATATGCGTATGGTATGATAATTTCCAAAATGAAGCCACTGTACTGTGTCACTCAAATTACTTATGGGCCCTACACAGTAAAAATGAGTATCATAGTAGGCATACCTTGTGGGGTGGCCCGACTCAGTGGTTTTTCCTCCTGAAAATTCTTCCAGTTCCCAAAGCTGCACCTACAGCAGTCTGCCTCTTACTCTGCCTCTCAGGGCATAACTGGGTTGTCCAGGGATACATACCTGACCCAAACTGGATAGGTCATATTTTTTTATCCCAAGTATTTGGCATTTGGAAATGAAATCAAAAGGAGAATCACTGTAGCTAGTCCCCCTTAAATCCTTGAATTGCAGCTGAGACCTCCAGTGCTGCTTCATGTTCCTGCTCCTCTTTAGCCTTGTTAAACTCTTGTGAGGTTTTTGTTTTCGTTTTTATCTTAGACTGAAAAATGAAATTGAAAAGATTTGTTGGTAGCTTTAAAAAGAAATTTTAGTTTAAATCTTAGGGGGCCGGGAATATAGCTCAGCGGCACAAGTGCCTGCGTGGCAAGCTCAAGGTTCTGAGTTTGATTCCCGGTACCAAAAAAAAAATAAGTAAATCTTAGGAACTTTTTCCAAAAATATGTTTCTAAGGAGCCTATTGTGCAAAATGGCATTTGACATTTAGGTTAAATTTAAGGAAGATCAATGAGTTTCCAATAGGTGGAAACAGAAAGGACTCAAGAGAGAGGGAAATGTATGAAATGTTTTTCCAGGGAGATTTTGACTACGGCAGTTCCTCTAAATTTTTTCTGTTGAGGTGTGCTTACTGCAGTCCAGTGATTCTCAGTGGGTCTCAATAAGCCACCTCCTTAGAGTGCTTTTTAGAAAACTCTGAAGGTGTTTTAATTGCCATAGTGACTGGGCTGCTACTGACAGATGCCTTATGATGTGTGAAATAGTCCAACTGAATGAAGATTTGTTACCCTCCCCCATAACTTGTGTCCCTTGCCTCAGGCTAATCCACCTACAGATGTGTGTAGTTTTGTAATACATGCTAATATTGAAAAATCTGATTGAGATATTAAACAAAAAGCTTAAGTTAGAAGGTTTTTGTTTAGCCGTTTTTTGTTGCTGCACAATAAAATAGCACACACTTAGCTGCTTGAAACAACACTCATCTATTAGCTTGCAGTTCTGTAAATCAGAAGTGAGGATTTTATGAGTTTTCTGTATAGGGTCTCACAAGAGTAAAATAAAAGTGGCAGCCAAGCCAGCTGGTTTATAGGGATGCTCCAGGGAAATAATCTGCTTGCACACTATTGGATTATTGGTAGACTTCACTTCCTTGTAGTTGGTGACCTGATGTCTGTATTTGCTTGCTGGCTTTTGGTTAGAGGTCCCTCCCAAGCTCCCAGGGGCTGCTGTCTGCTCTTGGTACATGGCCCCCTCATCCGTTTTTTGGACAGAAATTGCATATTGAATGCTTCTTATTCTTTGACATTTAGGTTAAATGTGTATAGTTTTGTAATACATGCTAATATTGAAAAATCTGATTGAGATATTAAACAAAAAGCTTAAGTTAGAAGGTTTTTGTTTAGCCTTTTTTTCTGCCACTTGCCAGAGAAAATTCAGCTTTTAAAGTGCACTCTCATAATCTCTGTATCTTAAAATCAGTTGACTGAGATTAGTTGCATTTATGAAATACCTACTGTACAGTATCTAGATCATTGGTTGACTAGCCGAAGAACAGTGATCTTAGGGGATCATCTTTAGAATTCTGCCTACTACTGTTGGTATAAAGAAGCTTAAGTGAAATAAAGACATTTTCTCAAAACAATTTATTCATTCTGCACATTCTTTTCTGAAAGTATTAAAGGAGTTCCACTTGCATACTTAGTTGAAAAGGTTTCAATATGTGTTATTACTGCAAAAGAAATGAGACTAGTTGAAAATATGTGACAGGAGATTTGAGATTCCTGATCAGACTTCATTAAATTAGTAGAGACACTTGGAAGCCTGAAATTTCATTGGATTTCTTTAATATAGACTACTTCAATAATATTGTGTGTTATTGTCTCTGTGTTTGTACAGGAAATCTTGGTTATGAATTAAAAATTTTATTTTGAGATAGCTGTAGTTTTTCATTTTATCCTAAAAGTATCCCCAGTCTGTTACTTAACCGCTCTGTGGCCCCTTGCATTACTATTTTTCTTTTCTTCTAATTCATCTTCTATTTATTCTTATACTGTTTTAAAGAAGAAGATCTCCGAGGTCTCTTTTTAGAGACGAGTTGCCTGTATCTCCACAGCATTTTAAAACAGAACAGTAGGTTTTCTGTGAACTGTCTGGTTTAGTTTTTTCTACTTTGTCACGCTTCCGTTATTACTTATCTTACCACTGTTTTTTGTTGTAGTGTTAGTCCACCCCTCTGTTGTTTTATTCACTTGTACTTACTCAGAGAGGCTTTTTTTTCCTTTTGCAGTATTGGGGCTTAAATACGGGATTTGCACACTGAGCTACATCCCCAGCCCTTTTTTTTTTTTTATTTTGAGACTGTCTTGCCCAGGCTAGGCTTGAACTTGCGATTATAGACCTGTGCCACCATGTCTGGCTCAATAACTTTATTTTTAAATTCAGATTTATTTATCATAAATTGATATGTACATCTGGCTAATTATGTTTTTATGTCTCACATTTGCATATTGAAATACATACTTTTAAAAACAAATTATTTTCATTTCTTTATATATCAAGACACTTTAAAAACTTTGTGTAGATAGGTCATATCTATGAGTTTCATTTTAGGGTGGTAGAGGAGGCATTTTAAAATATGTGTGATAAAGACAGGAAGGTTTCGGCTGTTAGACCAACTGTTCTATCACTGAGTATAGATGATATCCCTGAACTACTGTCAGTCTTTCCTATAGTGTCCTTTCACCAGGGATCAGCAGCCTGCATGTCTTGCTGCTTGCAGGACTAGAATGTAGGTACTGCCATCTGTCTTCTAATCTCAAAAGGTGCCTCTCATTCATGTCCTTCATTCCTCATTTGAATCTAGATATATCATTTCGTTTTCCTCAACTTTGCAGCAAGACGTTCAGATTATAATGTTCACACACTTGAGGTTCTTTAGCAGTGTTGTCTTTTTGAAAAACATTGTACAGTTTGCAGCATGGTAGTTCTTTGTTCTCTTCTCAGTTAGCAGTACATTTGTGCAGATTGCTTTTTAAATCCAAGGTCTTTTCCCACTTCCCTGACAAAGAACAAAAGTTTAGCAAAATAATAGTTTTTGAGTACAGAGTCTGGTCAGAAGTACTGTAGAAAAGAAAAAAGCAATAGAATAAAAGTAAAAGCCAGGTTCTTGATCCTAGCCATCATTTTCTATGTTGGGCACATCATGCAGCTTCTCTGAGTCTTGGTTTTTGCATGGACAAGTAGAGATACAGTATCTGTCCTGCCTATCTGCCAGGGCTCTTATTAGGATCAAATAGTACAATGACTGCTAGAGAAGTTTTGTAAAAATCCTATAAAGCATTACAATAGCCATTAGTTCTTACCATCTAGAGTAGCTTTGATCATCAAATCAATCTTGTAGATGACTGCAGATTAATTTTTTTCTATTCCATCACCAGGGCTAAAGCAATACTGTATAGTTGGAAAGGGACTTACAAGAACTAAACTGGCCAGTTGGGTGGCCATTGAGATGGAGTGCAGATGGCAGTAAAATATGTATTTCACTCCAAATGTTTGGGAGTATAGAGATATAATGTAACCAAGTATAAATATTAACTTCTGATAAATAAATCAATTTAAAAATAAAATCACTGAGCCAGCTAGTGAATATAAAAATGAAGAAGCCTACCCAGGTATTGTGGCACATGCTTGTAATCCCAGTATTCTGTGAGGCTGAAGCATAAGGATTGCAAATGTGAGCCTAGCTTGGGCAACTTAGTGACTTAATGGGACCCTTTTTCAAAATAAAAAATAAAGGTCTGAGGATGTAGCTCAGCGCAAAGGATTTAGTACTCAGTAATGCAAAAGGGAGGTAAGGAGGGTAGAAGTATCAGCAGGACTTGAATATCACTTGGACTTGGAGGTGAGAAGTTGAACGCAGCAGAGTAGGAGTGGATAATTACTAAGCAGAGCAGGTAAGAAGGAAGGACCACATTTGAGACCGGCTGTATTCAAACTGCTGCTGGTGCATAGGTAGATATGTCCATGGCAATTTGGAATAGGACCCTGGAGACGCAGGGTTTGGAGTCAGACCAGGAAGTACCTCTGCAGTGAGGTCATGTGCAATGCAGGACCCGGACTGAGGATGGAGCCTTGGAGAGTCAGTGTCTTCAGTGAAGGGCCTGCCAGGTGAGAGGAACAGCAACTGCCCTTCTGACTTTGTGTTCCCTAGTCTGACATGTTCTGGAGAGCATGGAAGATAGGGGATGTTCTGTGTGTCAAAAAAGAGATCTTTACACCTGATGAATGGCTAAGCAAAGATGACATCTTCCTTAGGACATCTCCCAAAGATGTACAAACTAAAAATGAGCAAACAAAAACTCAAGCAAGAGTTCACATTTTGTTAAATAGCCTGTAGCCAAGTTTAAATATGGAGTATTGGTTTTTCAAATGCATTAGTGTCAGTAGCCACTGCTTTGGTCTTACTGAAATAATAATTTACATGTATGATACTGTAATACTGTTGATCCTGATTAATGCTCTCCCCTCTTTTTTCTCTCTTAGATTTTACATTGTGCTATTGGTAAGTATGGAATTTCTCCCTACTTTGTAAAGTGGGTTGTCTTTTTTTAAATCATACATGAAAGCTTGGTTCTTATTGAATATTGAAATATTGAAAAGTCAAACCATTTCGTCATAGGTATAAAATTGCTGAAGTTGAAATGGCTTTTGCTTTCCTAAATTATAGGTACTATTTAGATGTTGTCACTGAACGCTATGTCACAGCGCTTTTTTCTGTCACTTGGAAAGAGGCATCTCACCTTCGCACAAGGGTGATAGAGAAACATGTATTTGTAAAAATGTGACTTGGGCTGTAATGCTGGGCTTTGTTGGAAAGTCCTCTCTGTGATCACTTAAATGCTATATTTTTATCCTTAAAGTGGAAGCACCGTGTACATTGCCTTCCAAATGAATGTTATACATATGTGAGAGTATAAAGGGTTCCTAACACAAATGTAAGGAGTTTTTGCTAAAGCAGAAGCAGTGTGTTTTCCTTTTTGTTGGTTAGGGACAGTCATCACATTTTGCCCTGGAAATGAGGAATAGCTTCTTGTATGGAGAAACCACATCCCTCTAATTAAATAAAATTTAGTTCTGCCCCCAGGCATGGTTGTGCATGCCTGTAATTTCAGCTACTCAGGAGGTTGAGGCAGGAGTATTGTAAGTTCTAGGCCATCCTGGGAAATTTATTAAGACCCTGTACTTGTCTACTGTGTATGGGGCTCTGGCTTCAAATTCCCGTTACACAAAAAGAATGAATCCCTTTTGGAGTTGATAACCACCCCCCCCTCAAAAGCAGACCCACAAGTTATCTTTGCCATGTGATCCACGTTTGTTGTCAGAAGGAAGATTTGAAAATGATACTTATTCAGAAGCACTAAGGTCTAAAAACTTGAAAACTAAAAAACCCAAACCATTATGGCCCTTATCAGTTTAATGCACAACTAAAATGGGTGCTTACTGTATTCGGGTGGCTGGGCTTGGTGATAGGGAATTCAGAGATAAAGAGGCTTATAATTGAGAAGGACACAGAGGTCAGACACCACAGCCTATCAGCTGGGTCTGGCAGAGGTCACTGTTCTATGTGGTCCCATTGCTAAGGAAAACAAATTGTCTTCATAAAGTGTTGCACTTTGCTGTTTCCCACCTGTTACCTAGGGGCCCAGGGTAGAATTCAGGGAACCCTCGAATGATATGCAGGATTTTGTGTGTCTGTTTACTTGGGGAAAGTGGAAGGAGGGAGAATTTACAGCTTTCATTAGATTCTCAGAGGAATTTGTGATCCCCAAAAAGCTAAGAAAACACTGCCTTTATAACCTTTGAAGGATAGTTGTGAAAGGAGTTAGACTCATCTGTCACATTGTCTGCTTTCCCATAGGGTAAGTGTACTGGTCCGGGTTACACAACTACTGAGAGTTGTACCTCTTTGCAGCCAGATCTGATTCCAGAGCCTGCCTGGCTCATTTTATAACAAATGAGTTTAGCTTATGTTTAATCTCTATATACATTTCATTTTTAGTCCTTTATCTGCAACTTTGAAGTGAAAATTTTTATTGCTTCTTAAGTGTTAAAATTGTCAGTGTATGCTTACAGATTTTGAGATATACTTGGCCAGAGAGAGTTCTGGAACCACTTCAGACCTTCTCTACTTGATTGAATCCCATACCTCATCTCTTCCCCTCTTAACCTTTGCTGCTTCTTCATAGGCATCATGGACTGCTATAGCACACTACAGGTGGTTCCTTACTTAGGATGGTTAGATTTATATTATTTCAGCTTTATGGTAGTACAGAAGTGGCATGCACTTGGTAAACACTGTGCTTGAAGTTTTGAATTTTGATCTTCCCTGGGCTAGAGGTGTACAGTATGGTACTCTAGCAGTACTGAGCCACAGGAGCTAATTGCAGTTCCCAGTCAGCTTCATGAGCACCAGGGGAAAGAACCAATGTGCTACGGTGCACTGTGCTGCCCAGCTGTGATGTTCAATAGGTTAGGTGTATAAAGTGCATTTTCAACTAACAGTGTGTTCACCTTATGATGGATTTGTTGGGCCATAACCTCATCGTGACTTGAGGAGCATCTTTCCATAAGCTGAGCGACTTATGAACAACAAACATTTGTTTCTCACAGTTCTGGTGGTTGGGAATTCCAAGATGAAGGTGCTGGCAGATTTGGTGTTTGGTGAGGGCCTGTTCCTTATGAATGATGCCTTTTTCCTGTGTCCTCACATGGCCGAAGGGTCAAATAACCTTCCTCAGGATTCTTGTACAAGAGCACTAATCACATTTGTAGGGTCTCCATGATTTGATCAGCCCTAATGACACCACCACTTAATACAGAGTCTGCCAAGAAATATATACACACTTTAGAAAAAGAAAAACTTGTATAAATATTTTAATACTGAATTTATTGAGACACCATGAGATTATTTATTAGAATGGTGAATTGCCACCTGGGGGTAACCTTGGTCATTAAGATTGCTGCACATGCATTTGCAGTTTCTTCTCTAAAGGCTGGCAGTGTAGTGGGTTTTCTGTGCCACACGACATCCTGTAGGGCCCACCATGCAAGGGTAACACCATCTGTTGAAAAAACATTGTACTATTTTTCTTTTCCTGAAATGTGAATAGATTTTGTTGGTGGACTCTACTGTTAGGGGATTAAGTTTCACTGTACTAAATTGGGGGGAAATACAAACATTAGACCATGGCACTGAGTATGTGTACTATTATTTTAGTTATATTTAATTATGTTTAATACCTAAAATCAGTTTGTCTTAAAATATATTCTTATACCTCTGTAATATTTTTGGCCCTGAAAATAAAGTTCCTTACAAGTGTATTTTTTCATTCATCCTAAAAATACTGAATTCCTGGCAGGCCTGGTGTCGGCTGCAGTGATGGGCCGCAGGAACAGAGGTGACAGCCAGTCTTAGGTTTGGGAAGCCTGTGTCAGGCAGGCACCCTGTGGCTCCTCCGTTCTGATGCACCCGAGGACTGGCACCCATGCATGTCACACTCTCCCTGGCATGATTTGTAGACAGTTAGACACCCCACCACCGCCACTACCGACTGCGACCTTCTGGGAGGCAAAGTCTGTTTGATTCATCTGTGCTCGGCCAGGCCCCTCTGTAGCAGCAGACACACGGAGAAACTCAGAAGCCCTGCTTCTTCCCTGAAGGACTTGTTCTGTCAGGGCATCTCCTGCATCATCACCTTTTACCATCTCCTTACCTTTTCCTTCTCAGTTCGCAGAGCTTAGAGCACTGCATTAGAAACGATGTTTAACCTAACCTTTGACCCTACATCCACCTCCTGCTGCCTAATTCCTCTCTACCCTTTTACCAAATGTGTGCTAAACTCTACTCCTCACTGCCACTTAAATCTGAACCCAGTGTTGGGCATTTGCCCCATTGTTCTCTAAAAATTACCCTCTAATCTAAAATAAGCAGCAGTGTCTACTAAATTCAGTGGACATGTTTAGAACATGTTGAGCTTCTTGGCTTCACTGGGCTCCTCGGAAGGCTGCCTCCTTGAGATCCTGCTCCTTCAGTTTCCACTGCACAGAGCTCTGCTGGTTTTTCTTATCCCCAGTGGTTCTTTTCTTTCTTCCTTGGATACCTCTTTCTTTCCCTGACCCTGAATTGTGTATGTTCTCGGGATTCTGTTGGGACTCATTGCTCTTCCTCCTAAACACATGCTCCTGGGCACACTCTTTCCTTGTGGGGCGTGAGAGACTCGTGACACCTTCTTCTCCAGTTCCCAGCTACACCCGTACCCATATTCCAAATTCCTCCATTAACCTCGTGGATATTCACTCCTGCATGCACCCAGGCCCCTCTTCAGCAGGACCAAGGCTCCCTAACTTGCTCTGCCTCCTGAATTCTCTTTGTCAAGGTGCCCATCCTGGACCCATCCTAGACCTGGATCCTGTGCATGGTACCTCCTTCTCCCTCACCCACATAGCTACAGCCAGGCGGTCACTGGGGTTTGTCAGTTGTATTCCTTAAATATTTCTCAGATTGACTTGGTTTTTCATCTCTGTTGAAGACCTCAGTATGTCTGATACAGATACCCAGAGAAGTTTCCCTGAACCTCCAGGAATATATTTATAATTAGAGGCACCATTTATTATTTACTGTGTTCCAGTGCTTTACATTCATTATCTCATTTACTTCCCATTTAACAGTTACAAGATTGAAGTTTAGAAGGTTTTTTGTTCTCACCACAAATAAATGAGTGTATATATTCATAAACATTTATTTATTTATGATACAGCATTTCTATACTTATATCTTAAAACATCATATTGTATACCGTAAATTTATAGATACATTTTTTATGTTGAATTTTTTTATTTTAAAGGTTAAAAAAACGAACAAAACAACAATGAAGACAAAATCAAAACAACACAAAAACAACAAAAACGATACATGACCTCGAAACAAAATGATAGGAATTAACAACGGTTGCTGCATTACATACTGTTATCTTCATACATGTAATCCCAGCACTTGGGAGGCTGAATCAGGAGGATCATTGCAAGTTGGAGGCCAGCCTGGGCTATAAAGTGAACTCAAGGTCAGCCTCAACTGCATAGCAAGACCCTGTCACAAAAAGACAAAAAAAAAAAACCATAAATTTATATTTTTGTCAGTTGAAATTTCTGTTTCATATCATGTAAAGTTCAGGCACCCAGTAAGCCTAGAGCCATATCATAAGACTCTGGCTTCTGGCTCTTTGCTTTGCACTGTGGGCTTTTGGTTAAAGGACAGTTGTAAACATGCCTGTGTAAAACCTTTCACTGGTTTAAATTTCTTCCTGCCCTGGACCCTGCATGCTTCTCTAGCCTTACCTGCTCCACTTCTCTGCCTCCCACTCCATGCAGCAGCAGCCTTGACTGGTGAACTGGCCAACTGTCTGCCGCAGCGTTGTTTCTGTTGTCTGCATCTGTGCCCTGGCTTTGCTTTGCCTGGAAAGAGCGGAGTGCTGGGCCAGCTGGCCAACTCCGCTAGTCTGCTGT